ATTCACAAGTATACGAAACATTGTTATAACGAAGATAAGCATACTACACTGTAAGTGATGTGATTTTTGTTTTATTACTATTTGTTCGATACACGACCATTAGTATTTTAATAATTCATTGCTATTAATAATGTTAAAAAATTACTTCAATTATTATAAATATATGAAATTTAATATTAAATTCTCTAAAAAAAATTTTTTGTTTCTTCTATTTGAAAGAATTTTATTTTATTAACAATTATAATTTTCAACTATGACTTACGTTTAAACTTTTCCAACATCAAGTGCCACGAATAATAAAAAGACGTAAAATTCACGTTAATTTAATAGTCATATCGATGGCATAATATACGGTTATTAGATTTATCTTCTGCTACGGTTATGCTGTTACGAAAGTAACATTTGAATTGAAAATTTGAAAATCAAATATAAATTTTAACGTAAAATTTTCAATATATGTTTTAAAAAAAAACTCGCAATTTTTTTTGTTTGGACTAACAATCTTACATAAAATATGCGTGTGCTTATATGAAATCTTGTTTTTAAGTCTTAGTTCAAGGCAGTAGGTTATCTTAAAACCAGAAAAATAAAAAATAAAATACCCGTTTTCCAGGATTATGACGAGTAGACATTCTTTTATAATATATATATATATATATATATATATATATATATATATATATATATATATAGAAGCTGAAATTTTAATTCTTCATTTACATTATAACTATTATTTGTCAACTTTTAATTAATGACACGCGAATTTAAAAATTATAAAATTTATAACAACCCCCTCACCGTATTAAAAATATTTTAAATTAACAATTTATTAACAAATCAATGAAAATTTAGATACATATTTTGCATATAATTATAATACATTAATTATTACAACATATAATTTTAGCTTTAGGAATTAACTGTAATAGTTAATAATGAGAAGAAAACCGATAGTTAGTACTTTTTAATATCTTTTTCCTATATCTATTTTTAACTGAATTTCAAACTAAATCTTTCAAATTTATTAACTGAAAATTTACGTGTATGTATGAAATAGATTGCATTTCGCTTATCAAGAAAAACACATGTTTCATTTATAAGTCTAATGAGTCTAAAGCTTTGATTGAATAGATATAACGTTTGCTACATATTAATATTTATTGAATTAATATAAATTTTTTAAAACTTAAATATAATCGATTGTTGGTTTAATCGTGAATAAAAAGATGTCGACATATTACTACAGATGTAGCAGTTTTCGAATCCAGTAAATATCTGTATAGTCGGGTAATTACGGGCTAATAAAATGTGTTTATAACATTAGTGCATCCCGGTAATAGAACCATAAGAGTATTGCAAATTATATTAGTAATTATATTAGAATCCAAGCTTTAATGAAATAACAATTATTTGGAATTAGTATAGAATACATTATTATATAATATATAATATAATAATATATTATTATATAGTAATTCCAAATAATTGTTTATTTCATTAATATAATATATAATTGTTTCCAAATAATTGTTTATTCATTAATATAATATATAATATAATAATTATATTTTAATATTTTTATCATTAATAATATTTATATAATATATAATAACACTAATAGTATATAACAAATCTTTATTACACAATTATTGGACTACATAGGATGTAATTTATTAATGAAGAATCCGCAGAAGTTAAATCTTTAACTTAACAAAAGTTTTAACATTTCCGTGTGTTTATTTTTTCTAAACGCATCTAAATGTAATGGAATATTGAAAATGGCACTCGAGCAAAATATAAATTGGAATTTAATTTGCTTCTTCAATCGGTAAATCGAAAGTATAGTTTAAGATATTGAAAACGTACTTGTGCATAGTGATTTATATCGTTTAATATATATGTATAGAACTAAATCATACATCGTCGGAAACTTTAACGAATATAAATTTAATGCATCAAAAATATTAAATACGCCAATTTTTCACAATTACATTTAACGATACTATTCCAAATTTCTAATATATATATATATATATATATATATATATATATATATTATCCGCTAAAAGTACATATAAGGTGCTTATCTGGTTTGTGATAGGCATTTATTTTTTGAATAGATACTACACATATGTCATCACAAAATATTTATGTGCATTTATATGTTAATTCGTTAAATTAATATTTTATGGTTAATGGTATTAACAATCGATGCGTGTTGTTCTCCCTTTAGATTTTAAAGCGAAGTAAATTTTAAAATAATATCATTTCTATATGCGTGAGTATTGTTTCATTTGTTTTTGGAAATACTGACATCAGACCGTTTATGAACTTTTGATTTCCGTGATGTATTGTAATTGTCGCAGAAAATATTTTATGTCGCTGTAATAATCATCAGCTTGCGACGAAAGTTCTTTCCCTTTAATAATACTTTGCCTCGGATTAAAAGTGATTATGATAGACAGTAGCAACTTGAAAATATACTTAAGATTATTATATACCTTTTGCTATGTTACATTATATAAAAATAGATAAAAAAAAAATCGTTGGCCGTAGACGATGTAATAAGAATTTTAATGGACGGGGCGCTTTCATATATTTTTTTTATTTTTCAGACAATTGCATAAAATTATATTTATTACATAACAATGAGAATCACATATCATACACGCTACTAATACAAATTATATTTAGAATTTTGATTGCGAACGACTGACAAAGTTAGTTATATACGATAGGTATTAGATTATTTTTTGTCACTCGAGGTCGGACTTACTTCATCCCGTACCGTAAGATAACATAACATTCATATAAATATTAAATATTTTCTTATAGCAAGTTAAAGAAAGATAAGAACGAATTCTTATCGCTTATTAAATATAAAAATTGATAAATTTATACGTCATTTAATTTATTTAATTTTAATTGTATAAAGTATTATTCAGATAAATGCGCAAATATATTTTATAATGGATTAATGATTATTATAGCGAGATATATGCAATTGACGGTTAATATCATATTACTTAAAAGTATTTATAATAATTTAAGGAACTTAAAGGTTTTAACAACTTTTATTATTTTCGACTGTTAAAGATTGTGAAGTTTCGAAACTGAAATAAGCGCCACTAAATTAATAATAAAAATGTTTCCCTTAATAAGTATCATGTAAATATTTAAATGAACAAATTTATACTTTTATGATTTAACTTTTATCAATTTAGATAATGAAATTCTATTTTCAATTTAATTTTCCAAATAATCGTTATCTATTATTTATTAAGAGTTTTTTGAGCAATACCATTAATATATAAAAATAATGAATAAATATAATTGAAGAATCGTTTAATACTGCAAAACCGAAAAATAAGTACTTTTTATAAAATTTAAAAATATATAACACAATGACGAATATAAAATATTTGATTGATTATGTCAATCTTACAAGAGAAAAAAAAATTATTCACATTATTTGCGTATAAACATTCAGCTACAAGTTGTACTACAAAGTAAATATTTATAAACTTACTTAATGCATTAATAATAAATTAAGAAAATGTATATTTTCTGTCATACATACTTTACGAATGAAAGTCCTAAATAAGGATAATTGTATCATCATTTAAATGTAAAATCCTCAATATTTCATGAGAGATCGTTGCAATTATATGTTGGGTATGCGCTTCTCGTGAATATTGACATTTTTTAACGGGAATTTTAGTAAATAGAAAAAAGTTTTATAGTTTTTGGAATTTCAACCATATCGATTGGATTGGGAGTGAGTAGAGGTGTTGTGTCGCAATCCCCGTAAAGAGGAGCCAACATATCCGCTCGGTGTCACGCAAATTTTGCAATTGTTTTTATATGTAATAATACATAATAACCACTAGCTACTGAAGCACTAACTAATAATTTTATTCATAAATTTCCGAAACGAAGCCCCGGTTATTTTTAAGAAATTCAACATCAAACGTTAATGTCTTCCACTCAAATTAAGTTTCGAATAATAATTTGCCTATTGACCTATGCATAATATTTAATTCCATTACATTGTAATATAATAATAATAGAAACGCATACATGTAAATAATAATGATAGCATCATTCGGTTACAACTACTTGTCTTCTACTACTCGTCAAGAAATAATTGGAATTATTTCTGAATTATAAGAAAAACGTAAAGACTAAAATAGGACTTTGTTGCAGTAAATCCACGAGATAACATTAAATGGACGACTTATTTTTTATGATAATTTACAAGTTAAATAATTGATAATAATACCGAGTAGTTTAAGTAACTAGAATTATCATTCATGCGTGTCCACACATGGTATGAATAGTCAAGTTTATCAGTACACAAGCATGCGCGCGCGCGCTCACCCACACGTCCGCGAGCACACAAGCGCGCACAAGCAATTTTGATTATTTTAAGACTTAATTTGAAATGCGATTTCGAGAAAACAAATAAATTCATTAATTTAATAAGAATGTAAACCTTACGTGATGCATTACCGTCGAGTCATTTCGTTATGGCTAAGGAAGAAAAATGTGTGCGTTGCGCTTACAATGCAACATTCATTTATCCCATTCGGTCCGGGTCATCAAACTTTCCTGCATGCTAATTAATTCTAATGCAGACTGTGATCCATTTGAGAGACCGAATCGCCCGTTGAAAAAACGCATATTGAAGGAAATGCGTGAAAGCTGACGAGTCGTATATTTGCTTGTCCATTCGAATAAAGGCCGAAAGGTGAATATCGTCTGGCGATGCAGCAGTGCCCACGCGGAGGACTGAGGGCGAAAAAGTCTAAGGATCACAGATTTTCAATGTACGGGCGCACGCACTCACGTACGCATGCACGCAAAGATGGGAGGGAAGAATGCATAGCGCTTGAAAGATGGGAATATGTAAGCTGAGGAAAGACGTGTCGAGAGAAGCAGACGGCGTGCTTGGGTCCGAGGCTGGGTTTGCGCGCATGCGCACTCCTCAGTCATGGCGGAGCAACTCGTGGACACGATGTCGTGTGTGCCAATACTGACGATCCTCGGATCGACGTGCTCCGGAAAGTCGCGGCTTGGTATCGAGCTCGCACGTAAGTTCGCCGGCGAGATCATCTCCGCGGACAGTATGCAGGTAAGGCCGAGATCGGCGCTGAAGCGAACGATGGCCCGATGTCCGTGCACTTTGGAGGTTAATAAGAGCCGTCGGTGGTCGGCAGGCACGCGCGCGACG